AAGGCGTTGTGTTGTTAATTTTATTTTTTGTTTAAGGTTGCCCACTGGACAACTCACTTGTCTTGCTTTGTTATTTGTCTCAAAATTTTCCAACTTTCTATGTTGGCAACTTTATCATCAAACGATTTATAGATTAGGGGCTGAGCAGGAATAGGAATGAATCAGGGATAGTTTGGGTTATGATGCATTGCTAATTTGCTACCATACCAGCATAAATAATTATTGGATCCAAACTATCAGATCAGATCCCATGGCTACCTTATTGGAACCGCTGAATTACTAAATGTTGATCTTTAGATTCCTCAGAAGAATGATCCATAGTTAGAGCCTTTCATCTCAGCTTTTACACATAGTGAAAGGTTTTTTTTTATCTGATGAGCTAGCTAATTGTGATGCAGAAATAGCTCAAATGGTTTGTGGTTCTTGCCGTCGCCTGCTTAAATATTCACGAGGAGCCAGACATGTTCAATGCTCATGCTGTCAGACAGTCAACTTTGTGCTAGAAGGTTCTTCTCTCTTCCTCTTTCACTTGGATACTTGGTGTACCTAGTAAGCAACGTTCGTTCTCAGTCTCATTCTCTCCTCTTTTTCCTTCTCCAAAATTGTTGTAGGTTTTCTTTCTTCCTGTTATCTTGTGATGATACTGTACGCTAGGCGCAAGTATTGCCAAAATTTGATAACAATGTAATGTAAAAGGAGAAAGAGAGACTGCAGTTGCAACTTCATTCAAAGAAGCAGTGCATGACCCCAAATAATCTGCGATCTATAACTAACATTAAATATAGAATTTGTGCAATACCTGATCCTTTGAGTTGATTAGGGTGATGCAATCAATTATTTTTCTTGTAAAAATTGTTATGCAATTTTGAAGGTCCCTATGCAGTGTGCAATAGTTCAGCACTAAACCACAAGTGCCGATGGACTTAAAATCGGGTCATCGTTATGCAATTACTGTCATGATGATGGCACTATGTTCTATTTTTTAACCCATTCTTCTTTTATCAGCTGATCAGGTTGGACAAGTTAAATGTGGTAGTTGTGCAGTGTTGCTGATGTATCCATATGGAGCTTCATCCGTCAGGTGTTCCTCTTGCCAGTTTGTGACAGAAATTGGAGTAAGTAAACAATTACATGGCTTGCTTCATATTTATAGACGTCATGTTGTTCTTTCATTGGTAATAGTTATTATTATAAGGGAGAATAATAAGAAGGCACTTTTAAAACAAAATGTATTGTCAGTTGTATATAGTTGTTGTAAATAGATCAGAATGCAATTGCTTGTGTTTCATATGTATGACTGGATGTGAAATGTTTTTATCTGTAGGAACACAACAAGCGTCCTCCATGGTCTGTTCAACAGGGGCAACCCCCTGCCAATCCTGTTCATTAAACTGCTTATGTGAGGCATGCCTAGAAACTATAGAGAGGAAAATTTGTGACTAATTTTAAACATTTTGCACATGTAGCATGTAATAATGTGGTACTGTATATGAAATTCAACTTTACACCTGTTGCAGAAACATGTACCGTATCATATTGCAAGAATTATTAAACGAAACATCCTTTAGGGGGAAAGAGTAAATGGAGACTTGAGCTCAAACAGTTGAATATAAATTCAATCATCAGCCGGATGTCCTCGTCACTCTCCAGAAATGAGCCAAGAGTCTTTCTCAGAACACCGAAAGTTCTGTCATCCTGAGTTTATAAACGGAAAATGTGGTTTTGAGACTTGTTTGCATATACATGGAGATATCAGTACAAGCTTCTTCTGTTTAGCAATTTTATCAGTACAAGCCTTCTCATGCTCAGATATCAGACTCCTTTCTTTGTTGCCCGACATAACATCAACCCATCAGAAATTTTTGGTGTATTCGATTTCACTATAAGGAGGTGTAAAGGAGTTTTGTTGCTTACTCAGTTTTTCATATCATGTGTATAGCCGAAAGGTCCAAATTCATGCTGCGAATGGAGATGGCCAGTTTAGGTTGCTGAACTTAGAAAACTAATCTCAGTACAACAATACATGTACTGACATCTCTATATTGAAATTATCATTATCAATCATCATCTCCATTGTGATGATCACTTCAACAAAAATGTTTAAACTGAGTCCATAATGTGCTGCTGTTGTAATTATATTCTCCGTACCATATGGAAATCTGTGGAACCAAACGCATCAACACTTTGCAAAACCTGTGCATGGATTTTAAAATTCATTAATCAATTAGAAAAGCAATTGAGATACTAACATTAGGAATTCAAAATTTGTTTTTAATGTGTGTAATTCATGTTTTCTAACTTTCGTCTGAGCTAACCTCCAAGTTCACAGAGCCTATGAAGTCTGTTAAAACATTGAGACAAGAAAGAAAAAAATATATATGTTTGTAGATTCTCTATTTTATGACATAATATCTATTCATTATATGTCATATTGAAAACAGCTCGTATGTTAGATTTCTCTAGCCAAGTTATTTTGGTGTTTGCATGAAGTATAATCAATTTTTAATAATATAGCTAGTTATTTGTTTATGGGATCATAGATGTCATTCCTTCTAACTTCTTTGACATCATCACTCTTTTTTTTTTTCTTTTTGTATTTAACAATGTAATTACATAGAAACATAGAGCAAGCTTGAAGAAGGATGAAGAAATTGGTATGCTTTTGAAATTTTTTTTTTTAATAGAAGCAATAGTCTAACTATTTTATTGGTAAGTGATATCCTCCTCCCTCCCTCTAATCTTATTTTAGGGACAAAAAAAATGCGCTTGCAACTTCTCTATTTACATATATTCATTTTTTTTCTCTCTTATAATACATATGTATTTGTTTTTAACTTCTTTGACATCATCACCCTTTTTTTTTCTTTTTGTATTTAACAATGTAATTGCATGGAAATAAGAAGCAAGACTGAAGAATCAGAGTTCGAAGATTCCTAGGATGAAGAAATAACAAAGGAAAAACTTAGGAGTTTTATTGGTATGCTTTTGAATTTTCCATTTTTATTTTAATACAAGCGATAGTCTAACCTACAAGTAGAGGTGAGTTTCTCACACACACTATCAATGTGCTATGGGAGTTCAAACCTAAAACCAATGATATGCAAGTCAAAGCCCTTTTTCACTAGGCTAGACCCCATTAATTTTTTATTATGTTTAAAAAAGGATAAAAATGTGACAGCAACTTCTCTATTTACATAGAGTCATTTATTCTCTCTTATGACATAATATCTATGTATTTGTTGTTATTCTATGTAACGTGCTCACATATCCTCCTCCCTCCCTCTAATCTTATTTTAGGGACAAAAAAAATGCGCTTGCAACTTCTCTATTTACATATATTCATTTTTTTTCTCTCTTATAATACATATGTATTTGTTTTTAACTTCTTTGACATCATCACCCTTTTTTTTTCTTTTTGTATTTAACAATGTAATTGCATGGAAATAAGAAGCAAGACTGAAGAATCAGAGTTCGAAGATTCCTAGGATGAAGAAATAACAAAGGAAAAACTTAGGAGTTTTATTGGTATGCTTTTGAATTTTCCATTTTTATTTTAATACAAGCGATAGTCTAACCTACAAGTAGAGGTGAGTTTCTCACACACACTATCAATGTGCTATGGGAGTTCAAACCTAAAACCAATGATATGCAAGTCAAAGCCCTTTTCCACTAGGCTAGACCCCATTAATTTTTTATTATGTTTAAAAAAGGATAAAAATGTGACAGCAACTTCTCTATTTACATATAGTCATTTATTCTCTCTTATGACATAATATCTATGTATTTGTTGTTATTCTATGTAACGTGCTCATAATATTGATTTTTGGGTTTAATCATCTTCATTTATTCATTGTCTTTAAAAAAATAATAACAATAAATAATTATTTTTATTGCTTTTATTATATTTAACAATGGATCAACAAATTGCACATAAGTGAATGTAAGTATTGTTTACATGTGGGTGAGCATATTTCCCAACTATGCCCTTACAAGTACGATGCCCCAAAGAATGCAACTCTTGGTGAGGGTTGTATGGTTGTTTGTATTATTTGTTGCTGTCTCCTTTAGAGACTCATGTTGTGTTGATTGTGACCTAAGCATAGGATGTGCAATTCTCAAGGATTGTCCAATATGTGGGAAGCAAGGTAAACACTTGCCTTTGATTTGCTCGAAATGTGAGGGGAAACATAATCCTCCGGCTTTTACTTGCTACCATGATACGGTTCTTTTTCTTCAAACTAATGTCCATTGAAATGGTACTAGGACTCTAGAGTTAAAGAAAAAGTTTGAAGACTGTCTACATGGTGTTTTGTTTTTATCCCAAATGAATTGCAATTTGTAGCACATTTATTATATTCTTGTCCTTGAAAATGTGAGAACCCATCTATTTAGAAAATGTCTCAAGTAAAAGGTGGTTTTTATCTCAAGTTCTCAACATTTTTCTTCTCTTATGGGGTTAGTATTCTTTATTTTAATTAGAAGACTTGGTAAACAACCATGCAAAGTAATTGATGCGGAAGCATGTTCATTCTAATCTTACAACTTTACAATGCATTCGAACCGTCAAATATACTTGGAACCCTTTAGGGGAAGGGAGATATCACTGAAGCCAAAAGGGGTTAAAAACATCATCGAACTTGACTTTCCGGGTTGCATTTCTGATCTGCTTGACAAGATTGATATCCATTGATGAGACAGGCCACGACCTCTGCTCAAAGTATTGATATGAAAGTCGGGAATCAAAAAAAGGAAAACCCACATTCATTAACTTCCTTTATTTGGGACTCAAAATCACCAAAGAATATTCATGTTCTAGTTGAAAAAACGAAAATCCTAAACGGAAAATCAAAACTAGAAATTAATGTCCAGCTTATTAAAGAAGCATGCATTGGGGTCTATTAGTTTTTAATGATAATTTATTATTCAATCAAGACTAAAATGGAAAAAATAATATTAATCCACCCCAAGTAAATAAGAATCGCCCTTCTTTCATTATCTCACAATTCACCCTAAAAGCCGCCAAACCCGTCGTTTTTTCTTTCACAACCGTAAAGCCAAACCCCAAGCTCTACAGAACACAGTCATGGACCACGTCTCATCTTTGGAGTGCCTGAAATTGGATTCTCAGTCGGAGGTGCTCGATAAAGACGGCAGGGAAAAGGACCTTTTCTCACCAGCTATGGTCCCCCTCAACTGCGATACGCCAATAATCGGTATGTATGCTTTAAATTTTATGCCTCAACTTTTGTGTATGGAAAATTATACTTTTACCTTATGTCTTAGTGCTCTTGTATGGTCTTGATTTTTTGTTTTTAGGGTTTTTGAGGAAGATTATATGAAATTTGCTTTGGCTTTGTGCGGTTTGGAAAAATAAAAGTGTTGTGTTTTTTTTTTTACCCTTCTTGGTGTAATAAGAGGATATATGTATTATCCCAAACTTTTGAATCCAGGCAAGTTATTTTGGTTTTTACCCTTGTTCAGGGAGCGAGGTTGTTGGATCAGAGGCTGATGAATCGGAGACTGATGAATTGGAGCCTGCAAAACTTATTGGTAAGCATTTGATTTTAGGTACAAAAGAAAAAGAAAGAAAAGCGCCTACAGTTTCTCTACTACATATATTTGTTTTTTTTAATCTCTTATTACATAACATCTATGTATTTGTTGTTATTCTATGTAATGTTCTCGCAATACTGATTTTTGAGTTTTATCATCTTCATTCATTCATTGTTTTTTTAAATAATAATAAATGATTATTTATATTTCTTTTATTGTATTTAACAATGGATCAAAAAATTGCACACAGGTCATGAATGTGAGTATTGTTTAAAGGTGGGTGATCACTTTACGCAACTATGCCCTTACAAGCATAATGTCCCAAAGAACGCAATTGTTAGCACTAGGTGTGTGGTTCTTTGTAATCATTGTGGTTGCCACTTTAGAAACTCATGTTGTGCCAATTGTGGCCGAAGCGATGGATGTGCAGTTCTCATGGATTGTTTAAATTGTGGAAAGAAAGGTGAACACATGACTTATATGTGTCCGAGCCGCAAGGAGAATCCCGTTCACTCACACACAATCATGGACGGCGGCGTTGTGTCTCCACCTTTGCAAATCCACCGGCCCAAGCCAATCAGTAAGTTTTTCCTCTTTCGTTTAATTTAAGAGTTTGTGACGAAGATTATGTGCAATTTAATTTTATGCCTCAGATTTTGTGTATGATAAATTCCCTTTGAGATGACTAGCGTTTTAGTTCTAGTAGAATTTCGTCCCGTACAATATCCTACTTTTATTTGTTTACTTTTAGATGAAAACTATTTTTGAGAGTGTATTTCTCAACAACATATTTGTGTTGCACGTTTCTGTTTTATTTTTCGGAAATAATTGAAGATGGTGGCATGGCTTTTCTAATTGATGAAATTTAGATATAATTGATTTATCATGGTTGTCGTTAGGTGAAAGCATGTTGCAAATGACATTTTCTCCATGTATTATTCATTGTGTGGTTTAGAAAAAACAAAGTGTTGTTTTTATATTATTTTTGTTGGTGTAATTATGGAGGATGTATATATCATGCCAAAATTTTGGATCAGTTTTTGAAGATGATTTTTTCCAGCCAAGTTGTTTTGGTGTCTGCATGATGCATAATATCGTTATTTGTTGATGGGATCATAGATGTCATTCCTTCGAACTTCTTTGGCATCATCACCTTTTTTTCATTGTGTATTTAACAATGTAATTGCATGGAAACAGGGAGCAAGAGTGATGAATCAGAGACTGATGAATCGGAGAGTGATGAATCAGATACTGATGAATCGGAGACTGAACAACTTATTGGTAAGCTTTTGATTTTAGGGACCAAAAAAAAAATGCACCTACAGCTTCCCTATTTACATATATTCGTTTTTTTTAATCTCTTATTACATAACATCTATGTATTTGTTGTTATTCTATGTAATGTGCTCACAATACAAATTTTTGAATTTTATCATCTTCATTCATTCATTGTTTAAAAAATAATAATAATAACTAATTATTTTATTGCTTTTATTGTATTTAACAATGGATCAACAAATTGCACGCATGTCATGAATGTGAGTATTGTTTAAAGGTGGGTGATCACTTTACGATACTATGCCCTTATAAGTATCATGTCCCAAAGAACACAATTGTTAGCAAAAGGTGTATGGTATTTTGTAATTGTTGTGGTTGCCACTTTAGAGACTCATGTTGTTCCAATTGTGGCGAAAGCGATGGATGTGCAGTTCTCATGAATTGTTTACATTGTGGGAATTATGGTGAACACATGACTTATATGTGTCCAAGCCACGAGCGGAGTCCCCACTTATATTTCTTGTGACCCTCATACTGGTTCCTGTTCTTTCCATTGAAATAGTAGTAGAGAAAGGAGAGTTATGTACTCTAAAAGTTAAAGCAAAGATTAAATGTTAATTACAATTTAAAAAATAATTAGAATTTTTATTTGAAATGTTTTTAAATAATTGTAATCTTCGTATCCCTATGTTGGATGAGATTGACTGCATACAGTAAAAGAAAAAGAAAAAAGAGTGGTCTTTCATGTCGTTTGCTATTAATGTCATGCTTTTGTTTAGCCATACATCCTATCATCATTTGATATCTACATTGCATTTTGTTTTTATCGCAAATGAATTGCAATTTGCAGCACATGATCTATAATTATAAATAAAATTGTACACATAGAAAAGGGAAGGTGGAGCCAAGTGATATGGCAGTGTCAGGTATGCATATGAATCATGATATGAGGGCCAAGTGATGCTTCGACAACCTCTGGAAGTAGTTGGATATAATTGCCAGCAATGTAATCAATGCTACTGCTTCCCACCCTCTCATGAGAAACTGGCTATGAATGTGCAAGGGCTTTAAATTCATAAATCAATTAGATAAGGAATCGATTAGGAATTTAGAATTGAGATCAAATGTGTAATTCATGGTTAATTTCGAACTTTTTCTGTCATCAAGTATAATTTATTTGAACTGATCTCAAAGTTCACAAAACTTATGAGGCATGTTAAAACAATAGAGAAATGAAAGAAAATCACCCAAATAAATAAGCCCAATAAGAAATGCTTACTTGACTTGAGATTAGATTTTTACACTAGAAGGAGCGTCTATGACTCATCATGATACTATCTAAAATGCGACAAGGGTCTTTCCAACTTGATGCAATGGCAGATAGTAAGACTGGGTTATGATGCATTGCTAATTTGCTACCATACCAGCATGATAACAATGTAAAAGGAGAAAGAGAGACTGCAGTTGCATTGAACTTCATTCAAGGAAAGAAGAAGTGCATGACCCCAATGTAATGTGTGATCTAAACTAACATGAAATATAGAATATGTACAATACCTGATATTTTGAGTTGATTAGGGTCATTCAATCCATTCTTTTTCTTGTAAAATGTGTTATGCAATTTCGAAGGTGCCTTTTCTTATGATATAATATCGTATTTGTTGTAATTCTATGTCATGTGCTCACAATACTGATTTTTGGGTTTTATCATCTTCATTCATTCATTCATTGTCATGTCCTCACAATTATTATTTTTATTGCTTTTGTTGTATTTATCAATGAATCTACAATTTGCAGACAAGTGAATGTAGGTATTGTTTAAAGGTGGGTGAGCATATTACACAACTATGCCCTTATAAGGATCATGTGCCAATGAACACAACTCTTGACAAGGGTTGGGTGGTTGTTTGGAATGTCTGCGGCTTCCACTTTTTCCAATTCCCAACTAGCTTACTCTTTTTTCCTTTTGTTCATCACTTTCTCACCTAAAAAATCTCTCAATTACTCCAAACATTTCTGCTTATTCGTCTTTTTTCATTTTGCTCAAAATTGTTGTTCTAAAGTATGGCTCAAAAATAAATTTTTGTGTTGTTTTTCTTATGCTTTGATTTTTATCACAAATAAAATAATAACAAACTAAATTAATAAATTTTGAGTTTTAGCCCCTAGCCCCTCACCACCACTAAAACCACAAAATTTGAGAGGCAAGATTTTGTGAATAGTACCATTTTGAGGGGCTAAAACAGCACTAGCCCCTTGCCCCTTGCCCCTTGCCCTTGCATTAGAGATGCATATTTATAGACGTCATGTTGTTCTTTCATTGGTAATAGTTTTAATGAGAAAACACTTTTGAAACATGTATTGTCAATTGTATATTATATATAGTAGTTGTAAATATAGATCAGAATGCAATTGCTTGTGTTTCATATGTTTGACTGGATGTGAAATGTTTTTATCTGTAGGAACACAACAAGCGCCCTCCATGGTCTGTTCAACAGGGGCAACCACCTCTCCCCCTGCCAATCATCAGCTGAGATGTGAAATTCAACTTTACATGAAATATTGTGGTACTGTATATGAAATTCAACTTTACACCTATGGCAGAACCATGTACCATATCATCAGCTGAGATGTCTCTCCAGAAATGAGCCATGAGTCTTTCTCAGAACGCTGAAAGTTCTGTCATCCTGAGTTTATAAACAGAAAATGTGGTTTTGAGACATGTTTGCACAAATATATATACATGGAGATATTAGTACAAGCTTCTTTTTTTTATTTTCAAGGAAGAGAGAGAGAGAGGGGTAGTACCTGCTTCTTCTTTTTCAAGGACTCTTCCAGTTTAGCAATTTTATCAGTACAAGCTTTCTCATGCTCAGATATCAGACTCCTTTCTTTCTTTCCTGACACGACATCAACCCATCAGAAAATTTTGGTGTATTCAATTTCACTATAAGGAGGAGTAAAGGAGTTTTGTTGCTTACTCAGTTGTTCATATCGTGTGCAGAGCCTGCCCTTCTCTTCTTCATACTTGGAAATGATGCCTGTCAAATAGAACAACAATGCTCAACAGAGTCGATGGGTTATGTTAGCTATTAAATTACAGATGGGGTAGGTGGTAAACTGTGACCGCACCCAAATATGGGGCATCTAATATTTAAGTAGTGTTAGCCAGACCTTAACTCAAGCATACACCACAATTATTGGCATTGCTAAAACATACTAAACAATTCGACAACCAATATGTAACGTCAAAAGTACACAAGGAAGGACATATCAATATTTCTCTAAATCCATTAATTTTTTCTTGCAAAATTAACAAATTTATTTTCTCCCAGTTGAAATACGAGAACTGAGTTATTGATACTACACCCATAACGCATCAATTTAGCATCCTGTATATGCAAACTTGCATATACTGCATAAACCATAAACAAGCCTATATCACGTATTCTGGTAGCCTAAACCTGCCAGCCTTTAAGTCAAGCATACAAAAAACTTAGTAGCATAGTTAACAACATCTCGACTATACCCACCAGGAATAGTCACTTTGCAAATAGTGAGTATAGCATTTTACCCCTTAGGGGGTGTTAGGGTAAATAACTCTTTAATAAATAGAAGAAACAGAATATAGTGTGCAACATAACGTTTCTTTGCTTTTCCGAAAGGAAACGGGTACTGCATTACATTTCAGATCACCTAAGCATAATACAAGACTTGGTTTAAGATTTTAAAGATTTTGAGACTACCTTACCATCATCACTACGAGGTATAAGCCTCGTGCACTCTGTGCATGAAAAATCAAACACTCCAAGCACGTTTTTCATGTTCTTCATATTCCATGACACTCTGATGGAAAATTTAAGCATGAGCAACAAAAATTGAAGGTTGAGGGAATACGTACACAAATTCAAATCACACACAAAAAATCAGAATGTGTAAGTAACATCACATACTTTCCAAGTATTTACATCCCAAACTGTTACTATTCCCTCATAATCAGTACTAGCTTATATGGTTTTTCATAAACTTGTTCCAGTTCAAGCAACTAGGCTTTGTTGTTAAAATAGCAGTTTTGGTGCATATATGTTATTTTTATTATTTTGTTGTTAAAATAGCAGGAACTGTTTCATTAATAAAGATGGAAAACTTTCTGAGTTGTCCGGTTGACACTCTTAGTTCTATGCTAATGAGGGCAAAAGAATGGCTGGAGCTGTTCCTTTGATAAACATGGGAATGGTACGTATTTGCTTTCCTTGTGATCGACAACTGCAAATTTATCTTTACCAAGAGAATCAATTTTCTGTCATTGATTTTATTTATTATGTGGTGGATACTTTGCTTGACTAGCTAACAGGTTACTATTTGATTGATACTTTACTTGACTAGCTACCAGGGAACTGTTAGATTGGATTGGAGTTGAGTCCAAGCCAGTCTTTATGAGTCCCACCCCTCTAGGTGAGACTTGTAAGACACAATATGTGGCTCACCATACAACGGCTAGAACTCTTGTCCATTTCAATTGAAGTCCAGTCGAGTGAGACTACTAGAAGATACACTCTAGATAAGACAAGAATCCAATATTTTTAAGACCAAGAGCAAAGAATCTGAAAAGACTTTCTCGCACTGGAATAATCTTTGTATATATACTTTGTGGAGTTCATCACAAGTCAAGATGCTTACATATAGCGGCCACTAAAATATCAATAAACATTACTTGATAGACATGGATCCTTCCTTGTATAAGGCAGCAAGATCAGGTGACGTTGGTTTCTTGAGAAAAAATAAAGATGCTGACGTACCAGATGATCTTCTCCATCAGAAAACGCCTATGGACAATAATATACTTCACATTGCCGCTGAGTTCAAGCACATAGATTTCTTCAAACAAATCCCACCACAATCGCCATTGTTTTGGACCACCAACAAGGAGGGTGAAACTCCCCTCCACGTTGCTGCTAGAGTTGGTTGTGATGAAGGAGTTGAGTTCCTCATCAACCATGCGAAAAAACTACACGTTGATGATGAGGAGAGCGAACCCACTACTTATCCAATGACACGAGGAGCTGTGCTTGATTGGGGTCGACGCTTCAAGATTATTCAGGGTATTGCTAGAGGGCTTCTTTACCTCCACCATGATTCCTGTTTGAAGGTAATACATAGAGATTTGCGGGCTAGGCGGGGGCTAGGCGGGCTAGGCAGTCGCTAGGCGGGCGCTAGGTGGTCTAGGCGGGCTAGGCAGTCACTAGGCGGTCGCTAGGTGGTCTAGGCGGGCTAGGCGGGAGCTAGGCGGTCTAGGGGGACGCTAGCGCCTAGAAAGAAAAAAAACGCCATTTTGGAATCTCCAAGGTCAGGGACGAGATGACGATGGTGCTAAGAGCGAGAGACAGAGAGATGAGGATTGAGGAAGAAGAGAGGTGGAGAGGGGCTGGAAGACGGCTCGTGTTAGAGTTAGGGTTTGAGAAGGAAAATTGCATTTATATGTATAAAAAAAAAAAACAAAAGAAGAGATGGCCCCCGATTACTCCTCTAGGAATTAGACCCCTGCTTGCAGCCCGCCTACCACCTTGATTCGAACATTGGGATTGACATGTTGGTAAATCTAGCTGTACCAGAGGCAAATACCAGAGGCAAATTCTTCTAAACTAATAATCTCAATCTTATATTTTTGAAAGATGAATGGTCTTAAATCTAACGTGATGGAACATCTAATTAGGTAGTAGCTGAGCAAATAAACTTACTATGTTTAAACTGAGTCCATAAAATGTTGTTGAAATTATATTCTCCTCAACCCTTGGCTAAACCTGTGCATGGATTTTAAATTCGTAAATCAATTAGATAAGCAATTGAGATGCTAACATTATGAATTTAATTAGAAATGAGTTCAAATGTGTAATTCATGGTTTCTAACTTTTTCTGTCATCAATTAAACTTGTATAATCTATCTAAGCTGATCTCAAAGTTCACAGAGATTACAAGGTCTGTTAGAAGAAGAAGAACATTGAGGCCAGTTAAAGCAATAGAGAAATGAAACAAAACCACCCAAATAAATAAGAAATGCTTACTTGACTTGAGATTAGATTTTTTTCATTATATTTATTCTGTGACTAGTTCTATGAACTAAAGACTGACAAATAAAGGAGGTTAAAATACCGGTAAATTTAAAATATAGACAATCAAGATGCAGTAATAAGAGATATACAAACAAAACATTCAGAAGAAGTAAAATATTTTTGTGAGGATACTTACGCATGCAACAGATTAGGAGGAGATGGAAAGAAAGGAGGACGGAGGGATTGGATTGGATTGGAAGGATATATGCTAGAGTCACAAACAAGACTCACAAATTTCGGAAGTATTAGCACAAACTTGAAAATAAAAGGAAACGTAAAACAAAGGAAAAACCACATTAATTAACTTCCTTTATTTGGGACTCAAAATCACCAAAATATTCCTGCTCTAATTCAGAAAACCAAAATCCCAAACGAAATCGGAAAATCAAAACTATAAATTAATGTCCTGCTTATTAAAGATGCGTGCATTGGGGTCCAATAGTTTTTAATGATAATTTATTATTTAATCAAGACTGAAATGGAAAAAATAATATTGCTTATTAAAGATGCGTGCATTGGGGTCCAATAGTTTTTAATGATAATTTATTATTTAATCAAGACTGAAATGGAAAAAATAATATTGCTTATTAAAGATGCAGTAATAAGAGATATACAAACAAAACATTCAGAAGAAATAAAATATTTGAAAATAATAATATTTATAGACGTCATGTTGTTCTTTCATTGGTAATAGTAATTGTTTTAAGGGAGAATAATAAGAAAACACATTTGAAACAACATGTATTGTCATTTGTATATAGTTGTTGTAAATAGATCAGAATGCAATTGCTTGTGTTTCATATGTATGACTAGATGTGAAATGTTTTTATCTGTAGGAACACAACAAGCGCCCTCCATGGTCTTTTCAACAGGGGCACCCACCTCCCCCTGCCAATCCTGTTCATTAAACTGCTTATGTGAGGCGTGCCTAGAAATCGTATAGAGGAAAATTTGTGACTAATTTTAAGCATTTTGCACATGCAGCATGCAATATTGTGGTATTGTATATGAAATTCAACTTTACACCTATGGCAGAACCATGTTCCATATCATATTGCAAGTATTAATAAACGTAACATCTTTTAGGAGGAAAAGGTAACGGGAGACTTGAGCTCAAACAGTTGAATGTTCATTCAATCATCAGCCGGGATGTCTTCGTCACTCTCCAGAAATGAGCCAAGAGTCTTTCTCAGAACACTGAAAGTTCTGTTATCCTGAGTTTATAAACAGAAAATCTGGTTTTGAGACATGTTTGCATATACATGGAGATATCAGTACAAAGAGGAGTAAAGGAGTACCTGCTTCTTCTTTTTCAATGACTCTTCCAGTTTAGCAATTTTATCAGTACAAGCTTTCTCATGCTCAGATATCAGACTCCTTTCTTTCTTTCCTGACATGACATCAACCCATCAGAAAATTTTGGTGTATTCGATTTCACTATAAGGAGGAGTAAAGGAGTTTTGTTGCTTACTCAGTTGTTCATATCGTGTACAGAGCCTTTCCTTCTCTTCTTCATAGTTGGAAATGATGCCTGTCAAATAGAACAACAATGCTTAACAGAGTCGATGGGTTATATTAGCTAATAATTGCAAGGCCTGTTCTGCAGTTTTGATATGATGCTCTTAAATTTCACTTGTTAATGGAAAATGGAGCCAAACTAAAGGAGCTACATGCATAAGATGACATTAGACAATGTCATGTTCTGTGTGCAGAGTATAAAAAAGCAGGCTTCCTATCCATAGAAATCCGAAACCAGAAGTACGCAGACAAAAAAGCTAGTTGCTGGTATAGAAACTTTGCAAAATCACTAGATGCAGACAAATAAGCTAGTTGCTGATTAGGTAAATACCTATCTAATTGAATTTATGTTATTAATTACAATTACAATCCACTTACACAGAAACGCTTTATAGTATGAAGAGAAATCAGATGCAATTACAAGATTTGGAAACTGTAAGGAACTACCTTTCAAGGCCTGCAGATGGTTGGCTTGGTCCTTGCAAAACTTCTCATAGAGTGATTGGAACTTGGCAGTTTCAGTCTTCAAGCAATTCTCACACTGCATACATATATTATATACAACCAAATTATTAATCAGAATAAAAAATTTGGGCATCAAACAAAATAACTAGAAATTCAGATTTCTCCGCAGGATCATCTATGGTTTTAGCTCTTTTCTTCTCCTTCCACAGACCTCTTTTGAGCTCTTCGAAAGAGATTTAGCGAAACTTTGTCTGAGAATTGAAGAATACAAAAGGCATCAAATCCAAATGAGTACACTTCAGCAAGTAAAACTACGGATGAAAATGAATAAGAAGATTTAGTAACTTAAACTGGTTTGAATTCAAATATTCTTATTTACCTATCCTTCTCAACTTTAGACTTCAGTTCATCAATCACAGACCTGACCTCAGCAGCCACACTGTCGCAAAAACACATAAATGGTAATTCAGGAAACTATAACTACAGAATCAAATCAAAAGATATTCAAACAGAAAATTTTTAAATAAATTAAATTAAATGCCTAAATTAGTAGCTGTTTGAACATTTCATATAAAACTAAAAAAAGATCGTTCATCAGGTTTCACTAAATTATTTTTACAGATTCATATTGTAAATCCTATCAGAACTAACACAAATAAGCAAGCAAGCAATTGTACCTTCAATTTTCAGAGTTTTATCAACTTATTTATTGCAATTTGTAAACGAAATGGGAAACTAAGCAATAAAACAAGGAAATTCGAATTAATCTCGCAAAGAAATGGTCAACGATATTCGAATTTCGGCGATAATCAAACTGGACCAGACCGATATGATTAGGCTCACCTTGATATGGTCTCCTCGTTCTTCTTAAGCCCGTCCTTGTGAGCTTTCTCTCGGATCTGGTGCAGTGCCGACATAATTCCTTCGATATCACTGTAAAATTCAACCATAATCTCAATCTCATAACTTCGTCCACAAATCGACGAGCAAAAACAAAATAGATGAAGAAGAAATTATAGGAAAACGAACTTGGAGAGGTCGAGATCGAGATCGAGGTCATTCGATTTGGCGAGCTGAGGCTCGGTCCTGCGCTTCTTGTTACTCGCTTTGGCGGTCGACATTGTCGTTACGCTTTGGAAGTCGAGGTTTTGGCTTAGAGGTTGAAGAAGCTTTTTGAGTTGCAGAGTGAGATTCGCGCGCGCTCAAATTGGCTTTAGAGGTTGAAGAAACTTTTAAATAACCGCGATGAATTAAAAAACCCGACTTTAAAATAGTAAAACCTTTTTCTCTTATTTTTTCTCTCTGATAGAAGTTAAAATATATTTATTTGTTTTGATTATATTGAATTTCTTTTTTCTTTCCTCCCTGTTATCCATAAGCTCCTTTCTGGACATGCCATTATTTATTTGTTGCAGAGTAAATTGGGCTATTTAGGCCCAGGAAGGCCTGACCGGCTTTACTCCATGCTATTTGAACCAATTTCTGTTAATGGGCCAAACCCAATCAATCCAACTGAAACTTTTTTTTTTTTTTTTTCATACAAACCGGGAGGGGTATTGAGTCGGTCTACTTTAATCTAATCTAAACTATGAAGAGGTGGATTCAAACTCGGGTGTAGAGTAGAGAGCAAATCCGCTCTAACCAACTTGGCTAAACCCATGTTTGCAATCCAGTTGAAACTTAGATGTACATGAGATATGAAAGTGTTGAATCCTTTACCCAAAGAAAAGATAAAAGTGTTGAATAATTTTTTGATTCACATGTTTTGATTGGATTTTCAATTTGGCCCTTGTTTTTTAACGGGTCAATTTAGTCCTTATGGTTCATTGTATTAATCATTTTTGTCATTTCTGCCTAATTTGAAGGTTAATATGCACACGTAAGACATACAAATTCTCAAACACTTGAGGTAAAACCCATGACCAAATTGTTCAAATTCAAAACAGTAATCAGTAGACGTGAGTTAGGCCATTTGACAAGAATAATTTTTTCTTGGTTGTCTACTGGCTTGCTACAGCAGCTTATCATACTTTGATAGCTTGAGCATGATGACTGTTGGTGGTTTGCTCCCCAAAACCAATGCTCCGCAGATCTCATTTGTTGGTTCCTCTGGGCCTTCTTCTTTTGATGGCGGCGGTGGCAAATCCAGTGGAGTCAGTGGCAACTTGTTGTTTGTAGGATGTGATTCTAGGGTTTCTGTATTTTTTTGGGTTATTTGTGGTTTTTGGGCTGTATTTTGTACTTGGCATTAGACTTTATTTTCTTGTTTTGTTGGAGCCTTTGTTTTTCTTTTTATAACTTTGTATTTTGTAGAAGTGAAGTCATCTCCCTCTCTTCCCCTTGTCCACACATCAATTCCTTCATCTCTCTCTTATGGGAGGGAGGAAGGTTTGATGGTTGAAGTGAAGTGGGAGAGGATGTGCAGACTTAAGCGTGGCACATTAAGTTAACATTAAGCTATCCATCCAATCATGTCGCACAAGTCAATGATCACATAGTTCATGCATTTATTGGATTGGGCGGTGAAAGATGACCACCATCAACATAAAAGATGGTCATTATTTAGTCAATGTATCTAGAAAAGATGAAAAGCAAAAAGGAATCCGTTTTCAAATTGTCAACTAATTCCAGTCCCTCACAAACATCGTAGGAATAGGAGGAGGAAGGAAGGAAGTCTAAGAAAAGACTTCACAATAAGAGTAAACAGTCGTTGAGGTTGGTCCATCTTTTGACGTATATCATATGTATGCCTCTAGAAACCCTACGTCGTTATTTGCACGCAAGCAAACTTTGATCTTTATTACCTTCAATTCCTCACTTATTTGAATGTATTCAACTAACGTATGAGTAAACATAATATTAAATTCATAGAGATGGGCTAGCGGTCTACTATTAACAACATTGATATTGTCATCAACTTAATCACCTACAAAGCTCAGTAAGTGTCGGGTTTTATTACAAAAAGTCTCGGTGTTATTAGTAGTAGAACCAGATATTATATTTTGCAATTTATTTAGTCAAGTTTCAGATGTGAGACTCATTTTATTCAACACATAATAGTATCCTAAAATCTCATATTCATGCAGATTGTTTGGCAAATTGAAGTTACAATATGGACTTGGGAATTTGCTTCTTTGATGAGGCTCCTGTCTGGATTAGCTCTCTGTTGATGGATGACTTACGTGGTCTTGCTAGGCCTCGACTCATGTGTGGGGTTTATTTCAACCAAAAAAAAAAGGAGTTCACGTACATGATTAGACCTAAATTTAGGTGTGAGATTTTCATGGCCCCATATATGATATATGTGTGAATTGCAGGCTCCATCATGGCAGTAGCATCTCTGCATTAATAATTCGATATTATATAAAATGACAGCTGTGATGCATTTGGTCAAATTGTGGGACGTATCTAAGTTGCCCTCTAGCTAGCTAGCTAGCTACTCGCTCACTGGCCCTGGACCTCTTAGCCATTTGGAATCATGTGTTTAAGTTAATGAATTATCTTTCAAATTTTTTTAAATTAATTTGAAGGTTAATTAATCGAAGCAGGTCCAGCTGTCCACAACACGTACGTATACGGTATACGGTGTACTTCTCTCTTGTTTCATAAAATTCTTAATTCAGTCATTGTAACTATCAGAATTGTGAGGTGCCCAGCTAAGAACCCCTACAATTATTCCTCTCGAATTGATCTTTGATGTACATATGCACCCAATTTCTTTGGCTGGTTGTCTCAGCCAATGCCATCATGCCTTATTATCCTGTCGTTTTTACGATGTGACAATTTACCCATTCTCACCTTACTTTCAAAACATGAGGTTTTCTAAACTTTCTTTAATCAACAATTTTACTATTAAAACAACGATTTTAGATCACCTAACCCCTTATCAAATTCAAAATAACTTATATTATACATAAGATGTGCAGTTGGTTAAATTCTTTTATTGAATTTTAGTAGCGGTCAATGGCCTGTCACTCTGAAATTTAACAGAATCTACCATATATCAGTCTCGTGGGCGGATAAATACACACATTGTTTGCAGATTTGGACAAGACTGAGAAGATGTACTCAACCACTCTCTAGCGTTTCAAACTTTGCTAGAAAATTATGTCTTATTAAAGTGGTTCATTTTTATATATAAATAGATATTCATATCCACCCCCGAGAAAATATCAGACCAAAAAAAACCCACGAGAAACGAAAGGGAATGAGGAAGAAAGAGAGACCAAGACCGACCATAAATTAAATTATAAAAACAAAAACAATATTATAGTGAATAAAGAAAACAGAAAAATATGAATCATGTGAAAAAACAAATCCCAGGAGGCGAGGCATGTGCCGATGTGATGCGCATGAGAACACAACAACAAGATCAACAAGATGCATGCGATTGACAAAAAAAAAACCAACAAGATGCATGCCATTAAATAAAAGTTTTTATTATCATTATTTATTTTATGAATTAATTATTTAATGCGTCCTCTATGCGGCGGGCTTGAATTTGACAAAAGTGTTTGGTTGCTGGCCTGCGGCATTTATGTCACTTGGTTCAACAGTGGCCAAGCAAGCACCTCTGCTCCTTACTACAAAGAAGGGGGGTTTTCAGTAAGTTGGGCGTACCTATCCAATTCAATTCAATCCAGTCTTCTAGAAGGAGAAAGAGGGACCTTTCATTCCATGCATGCACCCCCTGCATTCTCATAATTATGTTCCTTTGTCTAATTTTATCATATTTTATCCTCTTTGAGATGAGAAAAACTTCCCTATTTTCGTTTCATTTCTCTTGTTTATTTATCTCTTTCCTTCTCCTCATAAAGAGAGAGGGGCAATGACACAATGATAGGAAATTTCTTCTCCATTAATCCAATGTATTGTCAAGAAACTTCTTGGTCCCCATTCCACCACCTTATGCAATTGTTCTCGAGTCCCTATCCATAAGTGTATTATGGGTTCCACATACGCTTGTGGAGTTCACATTTATAAAAGAGGTGGCCAGCAATGCCATACAAATCTAATGGTATTGCAAATAATCAAAAACGGTCCAATAAGGAAATTAAATGCGGAAAGGATGTGTGTGTGTGAAAAGCTTTGGAGGTTTCCGCTCATAAAAACCATGTCTTACTCTATTTGGGACATTTGGTCGAACATCTTGTCAAAAAATTGCTAGTGGGATGATGACCACATTCACTTTTCATGCTATAGATTCGGCCAAGGAGAGCTTGTCTAGCATCATCATTAGCATTTTACTTTGGCGTTAATTAAACGGTGAAAATTCAGTCACACTGTTTCTTCAACCCTAGAATATCATCATCTTACGAATTATGTTAGAGCGGTTCCAACGAGGAGCCCTTGCCAAGGCAGGAGGGGGCCCAAGCCCCAAAATGCGTCTTCCAGCGAGCCTAAGCTGCTCGGGCAGCAGCTGGGTCCCACGAAATCAGGCTATCCCACAGGCAAAAAGAGCACGTGTTCTAGCCTAGATTTGCTGACATCAACGATGACGTCAACAACAGAAAAAAATAATAATAATAATAAAATTATACTAAAATTTCCAAAATTTTTAAAAAATAAATACTTAGTCATATTCTTCACTTCCCACATCAAAACTCTATACAAATTCCTCTCCTCATATCTTATGTAAATAGTGGTTGCCATGGCAATGGGTGGAAACACCACAAGCCTTTTACAAGGGCTGCTACTATTCATATAAATAATAACAGCCCTTTCCCTTTGCCATGGCAAATAAGTGAAATTGCCCTTATATATTAATTCTGGCAAATGTCATAGAGTCGAGACTTACTAATACATGTGGATTTCACATTCACATGCATGAGAGATGTTGATCAATTCTATGGTTTATTTTTTGGGTTAATTACAATTTAGTACCCTGTACTTACACCCTTAAGACATGTTAGTCCCCGTATTTTCAATTTTAACAATCGCATACCCTTAGTTTGTAAATTTTTTGCAATGTGGTTCCGCTGTTAGGGTTTCTGTTAGATTTCTCTGTTAACTGCCTACGTGGCATTGTGGGTCCCACATTTTTTAATTTTTTAATTTTAAATTGATTAAAATATAAATAAAATATTAAAAATCAAAAAATCAAAAAATTTCTCTCTCTCTCTCTCTCTCTCTCTCTCTCTCTCTCT